GCTTGCTGTCGCTGCCTTGCAAGCTGGCTGAGTAACCTGCATATTCTGGGGGCTGCACGTCTGCAAAAACTCATGGCGAGTAAGGCCCACCACTGATTTCGGCATTTGCACAGCATCATACTCTATAGCCCTCCCCTGTGAAGACACTTCATGAAAGCAAGGATTATAGCCCAACCTTTTTGGGATGTAGGCTAGATGCTGCTGGAGGTTGTGTAGTCAGCAGAATCGGCCACAGTGCAAACAAACTGCCCCTTGCAGGAACTGATGTTCAATCGAAAAACTGATGTTTGCGGCGTTGATGCGCTAACAATCCTCGATGTGTGGCAAAAAGAGGCACCGCAGAAACATTGCTGTTCTCCACCTTCAGGCTGGTCTTGGAAAGGATCAGGATGAAAGGTTGCGCCCGAATGACGCAGGACATCAAAGATTCCCTTATCTAAGGAAACCACTTCTGCCATCATCTTTTCCTGAAACTGATGCGCCACAGCCTTCACTTGAGCATTCCAGAATGACCCCTTAGTCTGCCAGCTGTCAACCAAAGAAGTTGAATCTTCAGACCAATCAACCGGAAGAGCAGTGGGATTGACTGCGTGCATCCATTGAAGGCCGGCTTTCAAACCTGCAAGCCACGAGTCTTCAACTATATCGCTGCTTGGAGATGAATCACATTCTGCAGAAAAAAAGATCCTATTGCAAAGACTCGCTGAGCATAGAGCAGACGGTCAACAGCTAGCCTGGCCCTCACATCAAAAACATGAGCAGCTGCAAAAACTTGCGCATTGGTTTGCGTCCAAAGATCGACCGGCCAACGCAAAACCCTCTTCAGAGTTTTAACATAGAATCTTGTAAGTCGCTGGAGCTGTTTCGGCGAGAGTGTGTGCCAAGCACCGAGACCAAAGAAAAGCTTTGAGGAAATAAGTGCCTGAAAAAGCTGCAGCCGAATCACAGTGGGCAAGTGCCGGTTGGTCAGCAAAGGTCGGGATAAATGGGTGAATGCCGTGAATGCCGATTTTGCCATCCCGATCCGTGCAGCAAGTTCAACATCTAACCCATGGTCGGATGTCAGAAAGGTTCCACGGTGCTTGTACGTCGGGACAAAATGGAGCCAAGATTCGGAACCATCTGCAAATTCACAAGCCACCCCAGGTGTGGATGTCAACTGATAAGCAGACCCGCAAAAAGACACTAATGCATTGGCCTTACCGAGGGCAAAATTCAACAAGAACCCCCTGGCATGCAAAAACTTTCGTGCTGCAGGTAAACCATCAAAAAAAATACATAAATAATGTTAATGTATAGTAAGCCCTCAAACAGGTAGCACAGTTACTTATTATCGCTATTTCAGGATTTACCAATTTTATCATTTGTGATTTGTTTGCGACTTCTATATACTATATATACACACACGCTAAATAGAACAATAAATAAATAAATAAATATACACATATATATATGTACACAGACACTATATATATATATATTTAAATACAGCCACTATATATACTATATATGTATATATATACACTATATATATATATACATACACTATATATATACACTATATAGTTTCTTTATATTTACTATATGTAGAAAATCTATCTATCTATCTATCTATCTATCTATATATATCTACTATATATACACACTATGTATTTTCTTTCTATTCACTATATATAGAATATATAGAATGTCTAGAATATCTAGAATATCTATATACCTATATATCTATATACCTATATATCTATATATCTATATATCTATATATCTTTGTATACATATATACATATATACATATATCTCTATATATATTAATCTATCTACATATATATATATATATCTACTATATAAATACGCTTATATATATATTCTTTATATTTACTATATTTAGAATATCTTTATTTATTTTTATATACAGAACATATATACATATAGAATATATGTAGAATAAATATATATACAAATATACATTAGATTGAAAAAACATATTTTTATATATAGAGTTAAAAATATGTAGAGTATATATATATATAGAGAATGTAAATTTATATACATATACACTATATATATATATGTATGTATATAGAATATATATATATATCTTCTGTATATGTACATTCTATATATACTATATATATATATACATACATATATCATCACCCTCAACGACTTCACCAGCACGGTGAAACTCGCATCTTGAGGACCTTAAGCTTGAGCTCTCTAAGCCCGGCCAGTTGATGAAACAAACGTCGTAAACGTCGGACCGTTTTGTAAATCCTTTTTCCATTTTTTGAGGTAAATTATCGGTATTTTTTTTCTAGCTTCCATTTTTTATCATGTTTACTAGAGGCTGAAACCGAGCAACTGGGAAATTTGAGCCACCGAGCATGGAGAGACCAACAAAATGGTGTATGACTAGTTGAGATGACCAAAATGGCAATAAATAGAAGATCAAAAACATGATTCAATGTCAACAACTCACCGTTTCGCAGTACAATTTATCGTCGTCAGAGAAATGTGTGTAAAACCCATCATGTCCATGATTCATGGTGTCCGACGATGGATTCACGCGCGTGTCGCATCTCCGGAATTCCTCGGGTGATGAGAAATCATCACCCGAGGCTGTATTTTCAGGACCGCTCGGGGTGTCCTGGGCCAGCAAGAACATGGAATGTTAGTGTTAGTGGAACAACAATAAATCACCTATATTTTCACCTATATTTTCATGGTGTATACCACTCATAAGTGAATTTATGGTGTGGGGATGGATCCTATTTACCTACAGAGAGATTGTTTATCCAGCGGCCATGTGATGGACATCCCAATCATCTTAGTATAGCCACTTTTTATATAAGGCAGCTGAATGCGAACTCGAACGGGGGCCCATCCTGTACCAAAAAAAAATTGGGGTGTTTTTCCATAGCAAACTGCTGTTGAATGACCAGAAGACAATTCTTTCAGTTCTTTCTCAGTTCTTTCTCAGTTCTTGGTATCCAAGTACCTCGGAAACATCACCAGCTCCTTTTGGCAAGTGCGAAATTCTGTCATGCAACGGTTGAGACTTTTGCTATCAATCAATCAATAAATCAATCAATCAATCGTCTGATCTAATCAGATCTGATAAAAACCTAATCTAAATCCAATCGAATCCGGTCGAATCTCGTCTAATCTATTCAATCTATCCACCAAGCTATCCTTCTATCTTTCTATGTATCTATACCTATGCATATATATATTTACTTCTATTTATGTATGTAATTTGATATATATATATATACATATATATATATGTATATGTAATATGTAATATGTAATATGTAATATGTAATATGTAATATGTAATATGTGATATGTAATATGTCATATGTCGTATGTCATATGTCATGTGTAACATGTAATATGTCATATGTCATATGTCATATGTCATATGCAATATGCAATATGCAATATCCAATATGTAATATGTAATATGTAATATGTATATGTGTATGTGTATGTGTATGTGTATGTGTATATGTATATGTATATGTATGTGTATATGTATATGTATATGTATATGTATATGTATATGTATATGTAATGTATATGTATATGTATATGTAAATGTAAATGTAAATGTACATGTATATGTATATGTATATGTATATGTATAAGTCTAAGTATAATGCATACATACTGACTTATCAGAAACATGATGGGAACTATTCTGGTCCATGCAGCCAGCTGACAACCGCTGAGCCAGCCAAATGTATGTGTCTGCACACGGGGCCCGTACATTTCCATTCGGTGAATATGACGATTTATCAGCTCACCTTTGGGCCTTTTTGGAACCAGATTTCGAGGTTTCCACACGTTGTACCGGTCTTGAAAGGCTCAAGTTGCTCAGCATTACTCGGAAGTTGGGGGTTCCAATCCAACTCCCAGGTACTTCCACCGACTCTGCCGCCTTGTACAGAGTACAGAGATTTTGGTCAACATTCACAGCAGAACATCTGAAGAGGGATGACCTGAGGAGTTTAAATCGGCCAGTTGGTGGTTTCATTCTTGTCGTTCCTTTCTTTCATTGAAACTAATCCCTTCCCCCTAATATTAAACACCCCCTTAGAAACCATGGTTTAGTAGGGAATTTCCACATCATTGGGACCATGCAATGGGGTGTTTAATACTGGGCTGATGGGATTATTGGCAGCAATTCAACGCCACTAGGCTGCTGAAACTTTTTTCGAAACCCACCAACCCTCGGAATCGGCGGAGAATTCTGACTTCCGCCATGCTTTCTCTCAGCCTTCGGCGCCACGCCGAAAATTCGCTCCAAAGGTGGTGGGTGGGGAGGGAGATCCCTTGCATTGACTGGTACCAGTAACATGATGATAACCTAATGGGATGGAATATATGGATTTTTACTACCCTGTCAGATACACCCGCTTGCGGTTTTAGCCAGCAAAACCCTTGAGCAGTTTTCGCTGGACCGTGCGAAGGTTCAAGTTTAGGCCCTTGCTATTCTCAGATCATAGAAAGGTTTGGGCAAATCGGTCACATTGATGGAACATCTACCAGAAACTCCCGTGTTCTACGCGAAAACTTGTCTTTATTTTGCAAACATGTTTCACCTAAACCAACCAAATGAAACTTGGACACCCGAGACATTGAATTGCTACTTCTCTTAAATCTCTGGCAACCAAATTGTATCATCTCAGGATCTTGTTAGAGAATAGACAATTGACATTGGGCTAAATTGAGCTACATATCTCATACATCATTAAATATAAATATAAATGAATAAATATATGTATATTAATATCTATATATATATATAGATACATACACATACATATATCAGAATAGAGCATAATACAGATCTACAAATCCACCTGCAGATCTTCGAAAATAAACTCATAAAGCGAAAAACACAACAAACTATATAGCATATCTACAAACATACCGAAGCCATCGGAAATATACCAGATCTTTGAGAATTTCCGCAGGAAATCTGCCGGCCCGCCATGTGGCCCGCGGCCGTGTGCTGCGATGCCCGTGGTATTCTTGAACAGGCGACCGAGGTGCAGGGGACTCCATGTAAATCCACTGTGATGATGGCCATTTTCCAGAGCTGTGTTAGTAAAACCCGGAAAGTCATGGTATTTTTTTGTCCCTCAATTTTGAAAAACCCGAAGTATCTATGATGATATAGAATAGATCGCCATAATTACACTTAAATGAGTATCCACTTACGTTAAAAGGGGCGCAACCATTTCCCATGTTGGAGCTTTGTTGTGATGGATTTCCACTCGTGACCGATTTTTTTAGGCCTTGCGGAAGCACTTCGGCTTCGGATCTCTTAGGGATTTCCAGAGCAAAGCCATTGCAGCGTGGGCGGAAGGGAAGGATGTGCGGCTCGACGACTTGACGGTGGTGGGTTGGGGGCAGGGGAATGGCCAAATGATAGTGCTTTGACTAACCATGGGAATTCTAAACTAACAGAAGCAGGAATCTAAGTCTCAAAAACATGGTGATATAATGATCTGTCACAGCTTTTCAAAACCTTCCTCCATTGGTGTGGTTTCTGGGGGCTGGTAGAAATGCAAGACTACATGGGTATAGTACTGTATATGAGGAGAAAGACCTATGATATTACTTTGCATGGCACTTTAGATTCAACCAAAAGAAGGTCATCAAAAACGGATCAAAAGCTCGAATTTAAAGAAGAAACATGGGAATTGAACCATCAATCATGGAGAGTCAAAGTCAGAAAACATGGAGATATGAATATCCAGCCAGCACAGAAAAAGACCTATGATCTCATTGACATGCCTGGGGATGAACATTGACAAACACTTACCCTCTGGTAAACTAACAGTTTGCTATGGAAAATCAACATTTTAAATGGGTAAATCCACTATAAATGGCAATTTTCAATAGCTATTTTGACATAACCAGAGGGTATAAAGCACCGCGATTTTTGAGGCTGCAGCCAGCAAGGCGTTTTATGACATCATGGTGAAACAACGTCCGGGACTATCAGTCTTGTTGAAGTTCATTTCATCATCACCGTTTTTCGAGTTTTTTTCCTAGTTCTATGTAGTTCTATGTATAATGTGGTTCAAACAATGCCATTTTTACGACCCATGACTGGGAATGGTAAACATACCACCTATAAAAATGGTGATGACTGGGGGATGGTTTATGACATTGTTTTAATCACAAAACATATCATACCATGTTCTATTTGTGTGTTTTATTGAGCTAACTGAGCCCCCTCTTGTCCATTTCTCTCCATAGAAATATGGTTAATCATTCCCAGGCAGATTCATTTAACCCTCTGGTAAACATACAAAAAACGATGGAACATCACCATTTTTAATGGGAACATCAACTATTTCTATGGCCATTTTCAATAGCTTTTTGTATGTTTACCAGAGGGTAATTGATCCGTCATATTCGTGGGTTTAATCATGTCGATGTTCAATCCCAACTATATGTCCTAGTTATAACATGTTATATATATATACGTTTGAATTTCATTAGGGCCTTCGACGGCCTTTCGGCCTTTGCTCCCCCTGGACAATGGTTGATAATGCTAACAATGGCCAATTCAATAGCTTATGTATATAATTAATCCCTAAATACTTTCCATCTTCCTTATGTAGTAAAACAATCTCCAGCAGCCAGTTGTAGGCACCAATTCTTGTAGCTTTAGTCATCATTTAATTCCAATTTTAGTTGGTTATCTTGGTTCATCTCCCCGATGTTTCGGAAATTTCGCCAGAAAATTCCCACAGGATGGTGCCTCCCAGTTATGTTTGTTGGTTTAAAAACCGCATAAATATTAGTTCGTTATATTTCGTTATATCATGTTATATCTACCATAAGCCATAGTTCATTCAGCCACTTGTTGTTGGCAACTGTCGTTCGATCGCTCCAACGGCCCGGGGGTCCCTGCAGGTTAATCACCCTGGGCACCGGCACCGGGAAGTCCTTGTGCTTCCAGCTGCCACCGCTAGCACGATCTGGGCGCTGCAGCTTGGTGATTTCACCATTGATCTCCCTGATGCAGGAGAGCCTATAGTGACTTCGTGAATGTACCCTCTGGTAATTTGTTACATAGCTATTGAACATGACCATAGAAATAGATAGAAATAGTGAATTTCCCCATGATAGTTATGGTGGATCTTTCCATAGTTATGTAAACGTTTACCAGAGGGTAAGTCCCGCCGTCTAGGTCAATCTTGGGGTAGAAACTAATATCAATGGGATTATCGAACGCTTCACCAGCTAAGAATTTGTATTTTTTTGCGTATCTGGCTGATTGGCCATGCCGTTATCGCTTATCCCATAGATGACTTTATAGATGGATAGAATAGATGACCGGGATGACTTTATTTACCAAAGGGGTTTCTGCCTTAATATTATTACAATGTGAGGCCCCCCAGTTATAAGTTGGTTTATAAGCCCCAGTAACTATAGTTATAAGTACCATAAACCATAGTTATTGGAGTTATAAACCAACTTAGCTATCTTGGGGGCCTCACATTGTACCATTATAAATATTAGGCTTATCCCATTTTTGGTGGGGTCACCAGTTCCGATGACAAAGATCCTCCAAGATCCTTCATGTCCATGTTTTTTCTGCATGTTTTGGAACTCGATTTTTTACACCTATGATTGAGGGTTGTGGCTAGAAACTGGTCGGAAAATGATTGCGAAATGGTTTCAACAAGATCAAAGATGATGAATTTCCTCCTAAAGTGCAGTTTTTAACTTTCAATGGGTGTACTTCATTTTCAGGCACAGCGAAATAGTTTTGTACCGTTCTATGTTTTTTCCGTCTCTGGGGGAATCAAGCCCCGGAAGTATATGGGTTTGTCTGAACATAGGCAACCCCTAAATTTGATGGTTAATCAGTGTTAATCACCATTTTCACCAGAAGAAATGGCATCTTGGGGGTATACCCTATTTTTGAGACAAAGCCCCCATAAAGAAACCCGATAACATGGGTGGATGCTATATAACTGGTTGATAAATGGTATGGATCTCTCTGTGGGGGTTCATTTCATTGGGGTAACGATTGGCTTTGCGGCGGAGATACCCTCTGGTAAACTAACAGTTTGCTACTGAAAATTGTCATTTATATATAGTTGATTTACCCATTGAAAATGGTGATTTCCTATAGTTAAATTAGTTTACCAGAGGGTATTTGTGGTTAGAGGTTTTTGTTTACGCCAACAAAGGCAAGGGGCACCACCTTGGATCATAGTGCTTGATGGGTAATTTCACCAAAGACCATGATCTCCTCTTTTCGCCTTTGGAGTGTTCATCCCTTGGATGTGCTGCGTTCACTGGTGATCATAAGTGGGGTAGATTGGGGTAGTTCATGGCTGATGTTGGAGGTGATCGCAAACACTTGTGACCAGCTAACGAACTAACCATGAAGCAATTTCTTGCGTCAAGTTGTGAATTCATCGAAATGGGTAACCATCTTCTAAGCCAAATTCTATATGGGACGAACCCCAGTCAGATTCATACAGTTCCATGAAAAAAACCATGAAAGCCGCGAAAATAACCCCACACAAATCCCATAAATGGCCTTACCCCGGGGTAAACTAACATAGATTTGAAAAACGCACCATGAAAGATCATTTTCCGAACAGGTTGGTTTTTCACATCTGTATGTTTACTCTAGGGTACATCCCCATTAAACCCCATAAAACCCCAACAATCCCATACAGTAGAGCCAAAAGAATCACCATTAACCCCCATCAAATCCGCATTGAACATCATTGAACCCCCAGCAATTCCAAAAAACCATACAAAATCGTACATACTGTATATATATCCATTAAACCCAAGCTTGAAGCACCCAAAATCGATTGTTTGGAACGCAGCAGGACCAGTTGCGCACCCTTCAGCAGCGTCAGATCCCTGCGAGCTGCTGTGGTGCAGCGGGCGGTTCCACGCTGGAGGAGGCCTTGGAGGCAGCGCGAGGAGGTGCGGTGACACCGCGGTGACACCGCGGTGAGCGGTGCTGCCGACGTGGGGATGGGGCTTGAAGCAACAAATTGATGGGGGTTTAAGCATCACAAATGGTGGAAAGCTAAGTTAAGCCATTTTTTTAACCCATGAAACATGTGTAACATGGGGTATGTTCAATTGGGATAGATGAAAATATTCCATTACGATTGTCAGACACACCCATACTTGGTGGTTCATCCCACGAATCGTAAGTTTCTTATAACCCCAGTTATAAGTGGACTAACCCTACTTATCCCATTTACAACCAGGGTTATAACCCACTTACCAAGTGGGATGAGCCACCAAGTGGGAATTTAAGAATCACAAATGGTGGAAAGTTAAGGCATGGTAATTTACGCAACACAAATGGAGAATTGAGTGAAACACAGAGATTTTCCTGGGATGATCAATTGTTGAAATGGGATTTGACCATGATTCATAGGATTCTTAACCAACAATGGGGAGATGTAGTATATATATACATATATATACATGGATACATAACTGATAAATCATAGGGATAAATTACCATCAAGCATAGGGAGTAACTTTGGAACATTTGCTCTTGAGGATCCAATAACCGTCATGAAGACATGACTGCACCCAAACAAAACACCTTCCAGTTTTAATGGGATATGGACCATCAAAATTGGGATGAACCAACAACAACAGCAGCAGCAGCAACAACAACAACAAGAACAACACATGGGGATGTATTGTAATAGTATTGTAGCTGTGGCATACCTGGGTGAACCTGACATTTCACATGGAACCCTTAAGTCGGAAAAAACATTTTATTGACCATGCTTTTTGGGTTCCAGACGTGAGATTGACGAGATGTATGTGGCCAATACCATGCCGATGATATGACCATAGATTGGGGACAAGAACCTAAATATGATTTGTATAAGAATAGAATTGGAGATGAATTGGGGAAAATAGATAGGTCGTGACAATTCAATTTTTGGACCATGAGCAATATACATACATACATACGTACGTACGTACGTACATACCTACCTACCTACCTACATGCATACATACATACGTACATACATACATACATACGTACATACATACATACATACGTACGTACGTACGTACATACATACATACATACTCGTACATACATACATACATACATGCATACATACATACATACATACATAGATACATAGATACATAGATACATAGATACATAGATACATAGATACATAGATACATAGATACATAGATACATAGATACATACATACATACATACATACATACATACTCGTACATACATACATACATACATACATAGATACATAGATACATAGATACATACATACGTACATACATACATACATACGTACATACATACATACATACGTATACATACATACATACATACATACTCGTACATACATACATACATACATGCATACATACATACATACATACATAGATACATAGATACATAGATACATAGATACATAGATACATAGATACATAGATACATAGATACATAGATACATAGATACATACATACATACATACATACATACATACTCGTACATACATACATACATACATACATAGATACATAGATACATAGATACATAGATACATAGATACATAGATACATAGATACATAGATACATAGATACATACATACATACATACATACATACATACATACATACATACATACATACATACATACTCGTACATACATACATACATACATACATACTCGTACATACATACATACATACATACATACATACATACGATATATAGACCAATTTTGGAATAATACGCCGTATGCTCAACTTGGTATATGCCATTGGTGATTTTGAGCAGTACACCCTCTGAGATTGACCCGTCGGACTTTGGAGCATTGATCATCAAGTTCGTTACCATCAATGGGACATCCAATTTTCCTTACAATTTAGTGTTGAAACAGACCATGAAATCAATTTTTTTGGATTTTTTTCGAAGGATCCACCAGATTTACAGCCCAGGTGTAGTGTACATGAGTCCCGAGTATGCGTTGACTCGTTTGTCCCAGCTGAAGAAAATGAAGCTTGGCTGCGAGGATCCCCGATTCCTAGGGGGTGATATTCCATTTACAAGTGGCTTATAGCCCAACTTACTAAGCAGTTCCAGGCAGTTATGGTGTGGGATGCGGCTCCAAGTAAGAATGACATCAGCCGTGTTGGATATCATATAGATGTTTTCTAGAACGGGGGGAAGGATATCATATAGAATAATGATGGATAATGCATATATATATATAGGCAATTGATGACGATAGTTGCATGACATCTAGCTCAAAAATGAAACATTACGATCTATGTGTGTTTATTGTTGTGTACACATACGTGACATCTACTATGACCGTACTATGATTACACATGTGACACAAGTTGTACATGCCATATCTCTTTCCATCGCTGCATCACCTGAATATCAGCCACACCAGCCCCTTTGCAGTGATAGACTTTGCCGCTTGATGGGACACAGAATACATACGTTTGGTGGTGCCCCCCCACTTATAAGTTGGTTTATAAAACCCATAAACTATATATATAATATCTATAACAAATCCTAGTTGCCCTTGAATCAACTTGAACCAACTTAGCTATCCATGGGGTTGCTTTCCCAATGGGCAGCTCCTGCAATCCTGCAACTCAGGGGTCGCCCCCATTGAAGAATCGGTGATAGATGGTGTGTCAAACGGATTCCTCTATGTTTCCCGGAACAACATCATTGATACATAGTTGTATGACTGGTTGGTGGTTTCAAACATGTTTTATTTTCCAATAATATATGGGATAATCCTTCCGATTGTCTTTCATATTTTTCAAGATGGTCAAAACCACCAACCAGATAATGATTATTCATGTGTTTGTAACCATGGATTTGCAGTGTGATCGAATTATTGCGATACACTTGAATTACTTATCAGGCACATGCAAAAGCAGAGGGCAGCAAAATCCAATGCTGATCTATAAACCTCTGAAGGCGACTGCGACTGCGTAACTTGTTTTTTTTGAGGTCCATGATTGTGTTGCGATGTAGGGGTTGGTAGGATAGTTTCACTAGGGTTTGCATGACATGTGTTTCACTTACCGCAGCCCTTTTTGTAAGTTCAGTTAGAGAGCCGAGATCTGCTGAGCCAGCAAGGAAAAGGGAGCCCAATATACCCGCTGCATGGTAGCGGAGCTCCTGGTTAGGAGCATTGGAACTTGGACCACCTGGTTGTGCTCTTTGTGTGCCAGGCGCAGAGCTGTTTCAGCTCGCGCCACTTCCAACTGGAAAAGGTTGGTGCTGAAACTGCAGCGTGTGAGGTACTTGAGGTGATGTCTCAACCAACCAGTCCAACTGCTGGTGGTGGAGGTGGTGCCGAAGTTCTGTTCGGGCAGATCTTGCAAACTATGCAGGCCAACATGATGCAGATGTCTCAGAGTCACAGCAGAGGTTTGAGTTGCTGGAGCGTGGACTCCAGGACCAGGCAAGAGCGCTGACTGCGAGCTCAGAAGCTCAAGTGAGGGCTTTGGAAGTCATGTCAAGGCGGTCCAATGTTGTGGACGTCAAAGGCGTCGGGAAACCGGAGGTTCTGAAAGGATCCCATGAGACTGCAAGGAAGTCTTGGAAAAGCTGGTGCTACAAGTTTGAGAGCTGGTTTGTGTCCCAGTACCCAGGTATCGGGCAAGACGCACTCGACTGGGCAAAAGGATGTGGGGACCAAACCATCCAGGATTCAGACATCCAGTTGAAGGCCAATGCAGTGCCTGAGTTGCGGGCATTGGATGGCCACCTGCATGTGGCTTTGGTGTCGCTGACAAGTGAGATGCCATACACGGTGGTATTCAATGCCAGGAAGAAATGTGGATTGGATGCCTGGAGAAAGCTTTGCCACTTGTATGAGCCGCACAACCCAAGGAGCAATATGAGGTTGCTGCGCAAAATCCTTGTTCAGCCACGGTGCACTTTGGACGACCTGAGGGCAGCCATTGACCGTTGGGAAGCTGACGTCGCCGAATATGTCTCCAGGGGAAACAAGGACCTTGAGGACGAGCAGAAGGTGATGGTCATCATGGGGATGACACCTGAAGGGCTTGAGGACCACCTCGAGCTCAACATATCCCAACTGAACAGCTACGCCAAGGTTCGATCCGAGATCATCAGTTACACCGAACAGAAAGCAGCCAAGAAGGACGCTGACAGTGGAGGTGCTGCTGCTATGGACTTGGACGCCTTTAAAGGCAAGTCCAAGGGCAAGGGCAAGAGCAGGGATGGTAAGGGTGGCAATCCCGATAAGGATTTAATGTGCCACTACTGCCAAAAGAAGGGCCGCAGGAAGGCCGATTGCTGGAGCTTCAAGGCAAGCAGCTCTTCGAGCCAGTCAACCACTCAGAAGGCCGGCACAGCTTCCAAGGGAAAAGATGGAAAAGGTAAGCAGAAGGGCAAAGACAAAGGTAAGGGCAAAGGAGGAAAAGGTAAAGCCCATGCCTTGGAAGGTGAAGGTGAAAAGGACGGTGCTGAAGGTCAGGAATGGCCCGAAGATGAGCCTGAGAAGGAAGGTAACTTGGGTGTCTTGTTCGTGGCTGGCGGGACCAGTGCTGTCTCAGCACGGTCCAAGCCGAAGGCCAAGGCCAGTGCTGAACCAGTACGGCTTACACCAAGTGAGGAGAGGTACAACTTCAGGAGGCCACGTCTTGGATTTCCTAGCCCCGTCGACAGGGAGACGAAGAACACCATCATTCGTCCGGAGCATGCCACTATCTCTTGGTTTTGGTCGAGACCTCTGAAAGTAGTCCAGGCGGATTGCAGAAGGGACAAGAGCGATCCTGCATCTTCTTTGAGGTGCCCCGTTCCCAATTGCAAAGGCTACTACAAAAGCTTTGATTGGCACGGACTCTCATGTCACTGCGACGCCAAGATGCACACTCTTGGACATCCATTGGAGGATCAATGGCAGGCTTGGGAGGATGAGAAGAAAAGAGGCTATTATATTCGGCCCACTCCTTACTTCGAAGAGGAGGCCTTGAAGAGGAACATCCACTGTGCCAAGGATCCGATTTGGATCCATTTGCCGAGAGAGCCTGACTACTCCAAGCATTCAGGTGCCGAGGCATCGGCTGCTCAGGAGGAAAGGATGTTGCAGCTATCCACCGATGAGGAGGCCCCGGAGGAAGAAGGAGAAGAGGAAGAAGAGGAACCAACCGAGGTCGAAGCTGATGAGGATGAGGCCAGTGAAGTTGAGTCCCAAGAGGAGCAAGAGGAATCCGATGAGAAGGCTGAGGAAGATGAAGATGATGTTGAGGAAGGTGAGTATGAAGCTGATGAAGTCAGCAGTGAGCCCGAGGCCATGGGATCTAAGGGGAAGAGTGCTGCTTCAGCGCCTTCCTCCCACAGGTCCAGGTCTCCACTTCCTCGCCGCCGATGTCAATCGACCGAAGTCGAGTTGAAGAAGGAATCCATGGGATCAGCTCCAAGCCCATCAGCTGGCAAGTATGTGCCACCACATCTTCGACCTGTCCTGGCCCCAGGTGAAGCTAAGGGCACCAGGAACTTGGGACGAGTGTCGCTTTCGACATCCGACCCATATGCTGTGAACAATGCATCAAGGGCAATTGTCCTTGGTGACTTGCTCTCCAAGAGGATTGGGGAGTTGGAAGAGAAGAGGTTGGCACTTGATGATCCCTCAGGAGATCGTGCAACTCTGATGGATGAGATCACTGCCTTGGAGTTGGAGATTCAAGGATTGAAGGAAGAGCAGAAGAGTCTTAGGGTGAAATTTCGTCAAGGTTATTCTGCTCGCCAAGAAGTTGACAAGAAGGACATGGGAGGAAGACTTGCTTACTTGAAAGAGAGGTCGAGGAAAAGAGCCGCTAAGAAGAGGCTGCAGGGTCAGTCAGAAAGAACAGAAGAAAAGATAGCCAACGAGAACGAGTGGCGCAAGCGTTTTGATCGAGAAGGCTCTGGACAGAAGAGACGGGTGTTTCCTTTAGCTCAAGGAGTTTTGGCAAACGAGCTGGAGGCGAGACCTTTGTCAAAGAAGGCAAAGGCTGCCTTGCTGGAAGAGGAGGAAAAGGACTTCCTGGAGCTGAAGCCGGTGAAGCGCACTAGGACGCTACCACTCTCGGCTCGAGCAAAGACGCCACAGAAGCAGAAGGCCAAGCACAAAAGAGAAAGACGCCGTGAACAACGCCGGAAGAAAGAGAAGGAACAGAAGGGAAAGGGTCAAGGACCAGGAAAAGGTACTGGTAACTTGGCTTCCTTTTCTGGTCAGGCGTGCACCTCAACTGGTGGCACGTATCCTGGCTGGACACGAGTCGACTTCGTCATCGACTCTGGTGCGAGTGCTACAACCATCCCAAAAGGATTGGTTGGCAAGGTGAAGTTGGAAGAGCCTGTTGGCTACCACAGCTTTAAGCTGGCCGACGGGAGTATGGTTCCCAACGAAGGCACTTTGTCTTCGAAAGCGTGGTTGTTGGGAGACGAGATGGTCCAGATGACCATGTCTGTGGCGAATATCGCTCAGCCGTTGCTATCAGTTGGCCAATTGGTCAGCAAGGGCAACAAAGTAGTCCTGTCCCCAAAGGTCAGCTACGTTGAGACCAAAACAGGCAGAACCCATCGCATCTTTCTGAGGAATGTTGTATATGTTCTTCCGCTGTGGATGGAGAGTTCAAAGACGGCAGGTGGGTCCTACCCTTTCGAGGGGCAGGGCCTGGAAAGCCCGTAAGGCCCAAGACGGAAGGGGCAGAGAGCTGTGTCAGCTCCTGCCCATCCAAAGCTGGGGTGCAGAGCCGTTTCGGTTCGCGCCCCCAGCAACCATATGAACTGACAGCCCCACTGGAAGGTGAGGTTGAAGAGGGGGAGATAGAGGACCCTGGAAATCAAATACTCTTTCCCGATGCAGGCAATAGTGGAGAAAGAGATGAACAAGAGGAAGAGGAGTATGAAATGTCGCTTGGAGAACCAGTGGCACTTGAAGAGGTTGAGGAAGGCCGAATGGCTAAGCCGATTCGAAGCCCCATCCTGCCAAGTCCGGAGGAGATCGAAGCACACAAAGTTAGTCATATACCGTTTCGATCTTGGTGCTCCCACTGCGTTCGTGGCCGTGGGAAAAGCTACTCCCACCATCGGGTGACGAGAGCCAGCGACCCAGAAGAGGTCCCGGTAGTCTCTATAGACTATGGATTTTTCGGTTCGCCTGGAGAACTTCCTGCAGATGCTGTAGGAGGTCAGAAAATGCCAGTTCTGATCATGCGTGATCGGCAGTCGAAAGCACTTCAGACCTTTTTGGTCCCAAGCAAAGGAGTTGAGCATTTCTACCCGGAGCAAGCTTTATGCCGTGGCATCAAGCTGTTGGGTTATCCAAGTCTGGTGCTGAAAAGCGACCAGGAACCTGCCATAAAGGCAGTCGCAGAGGCGGTCAAGAATGCCTTCGCGACTTCAGGAGTTCGTGTGCAGTTGGAGAATTCGCCCAAGGGCGATCACCATGGGAAGTCCAACGGAGAAGCTGAGGCAGCTGTTGAGATTACTCAGGGACTGTGCAGAACTTTCAAGGATGCCTGTGAAACGGGCATGGGAGTTCAGATCGACCCGAGGTCACCTATGCTGGCCTGGTTGATTGAACACGCGGGCAACATGTACACACTGTATGCCCATGATGAAAGCATGAAAGATGATCTCACGCCCTACCGAAGGTTGAAGGGACGTGACTGGCAAGTCGCACTGCCCCCGTGGGGAGAAGCAGTGGACTACCGTGTTCGGACGAAGCATAAGCTGGAAGCAAGATGGGCAACAGGGATCTTTTGTGGTGTCAGGCTGAACACTACGGAGAAGATCATTGCCACTGAGAATGGCATTGTGGTTGCTCAATCTGTGCGAAGGAAGCCGGAAGAGCTTCGGTGGAACAGTGAACTGTTCGGACGTGTCAAGGGTACGCCCTGGGCACCTATCCCTGGTCGATCCGCTCGGCCTGAAGAGGCAGAAGCTTTGGAGGAGGCAATCTCGGTGGAACCTGAATTGCCTGATGAGCCGGCAGAGGCGCCAGTGCCGGCAGAGAAGAGCGAAGCTCCTCGAAGGGTGTACATTCGCTCATCTGACTTGGAGAAGCACGGGTACTCAGCGTTGTGCCCTGCGTGCGCGTTGATCCGCATGGGTCTTCCGCGTCAGGGAATTGCTCACTCAGAAGATTGTCGTGAAAGAATGGTCCGCAAGCTGACAGAGACCGAGGAAGGAAGGAAGCGCGTGGAAGCTGCAAAGCGAAAGGATCCGCCGCTGAAGTTTCAAAAGGTGGAAAGGCCTGAAGAGCCCCAGGTGCGTGACCCGAGTGCTGCTTCAGCACCGGGACCGTCTGGTGGTGCGTCTTCATCAGCGAAGAGATCCTTTGAGGTTCCTAGCATCCAGGAGGCGCGTCCAGCGAAAAGGGTTCACGAAGTCGGTTCGAAGAAAGCAAAGGTCGCCATGGAGGAGCCGAGTACTGTTTCAGTACCGGCACCGCCGGCGCCTTCGGCCCCGTCTGCTCCTGCTGCGGGCGACGTGGAAATGGCCGACGAAGGTACCACTCGTGCGGCGCAGCCCAAGCGACCGCGCGAATCCGAAGAAGAGATGGCAACGAATCTTCTTCTGTCGTTGCGTACCGGATTTCTCAATGCTGTTCATCAAGCACATGAACAGTATCCTGTGTGTGAGGAACGATTCGGAACTGAGCAGATTGAAGAGTACGAAGCGTCCTACTGGGACGATGTTAGTGGAAAGCCATTGAGGCCAGAGTTGGTCGAGGTAGCCAGAAAAGAGGAAATCTCTACTATCACCGAAATGGGTGTTTGGGAAGTCATACCTCGTCCGTACAATGAACCTGTTATATCCACTCGCTGGGTGGATGTGAACAAGCGAGATGAGAAGTCTCCGAAGTACCGCAGTCGTCTTGTTGCAAGAGAGCTCAAGAAGCGATCTCGCAACGGTGAGGCCGATGGTCCATACACTCCAAGCTGGGAGGATTTCTATGCATCAATGCCGCCAATTAGTGCCTTGCGGACATTGTTCGCCTTGGCCACTACCCGTCGTGCGCCGGACCTGAACGGTCGCATGCAGGAGATGCCTCTAGACCAGTGTTTGGTGTTTCTGGATATCAAGAAGGCTCACTTTTGGGCAGATGCCCGGCGACGCCTTTTGGTTGAACTACCAAAGGAGGCTGGCATCGACGTGCGGAAGTACGTGGGACTTTTGCGCAAATCGTTGTACGGTACCCGGGATGCCCCCGCCAATTGGGAGGCGACCATCCTGAAGGTTATGACACTGCTAGGTTTCGTTCAAGGCCGATCAAATAGTTGCCTGTACTACCACAGCACGCGAGGAATCCGCGTTGAGGTACATGGCGACGACTTCACCGGTCTAGGTGCAAAGGACCAACTTGAGTGGTTCGCTCAGGAGTTGGGCAAGCATTGGACGGTAGAAGTTCGAGGTTACCTGGGACCCCCAGGAATGGCTGGAACCAAGCAGAACATTGACATCCTGAACCGATTGGTCTCATGGACCAACCGTGGAATAGAACTTGAGGGAGATCCACGTCACGCTGAAATCATCATCCGCGAGATGGGTTGTTCGGGAGGAAAGATCACTACGCCCCTTGTCAAAGAAAGAGTTGAAGAGGTTGACGGTGCAGATCCATTGTCTTCGGACGATGCATCAAAGTACCGCTCGGTGAGCATGCGTCTCGCCTACCTGTCACAGGACAGGCCAGATCTTCAAGTACTCGCCAAAGAATTGGCAAAGGGACTCAAATCTCCTACAACTGCTCATATGCAGATGCTCAAGCGTGGTGCACGCTATCTGCAGAATCGTCCAAGGATGATCCATCTGTTTCCTCATCAACAATCGATTTCTCGATTGGACATTTGGACAGACTCAGATCATGCTGGATGCCTGCGTACAAGGAAGAGTACTAGTGGCTATTGCGTAAGGCTAGGAGGTTCTACAACCAAGACGAGTTGCAAGAGCCAAGCAGTGATAGCCCTCAGCAGTGGTGAAGCTGAGTTTTACTCTCTTGTATCCGCAGCCTGCGGTGGACTAGGAGAACAATCAGCATTGCAAGATTGGGGCATTTGGCTACCAATCCAGTGCTGGATGGACTCTAACACAGGTCTAGCCATAGCCTCACGGCACGGCTTGGGCCGTGTTAAGCACGTGGACACCATATTCATGTGGGTTCAGGACGCCGTTAGTTCTGGACGAATAGCGTTGGGTAAGAAACCCACGCTTGATATGTTAGCAGATTTGCTGACGAAGGCTTTGGATCAAGCCAGAATGCGAATGTTGCTGGAACGGATGAATTACCACTTCCGTGATGGACGACATTCCTTAGCACTTGACGTTTGAAGAAGGGCTTGAGCTGAGTGGCATAGGACCCTACACACACTCGGGCAATTGACCCGAATCAATCGCCCTCGGGAGGCGTGTTGCGATGTAGGGGTTGGTAGGATAGTTTCACTAGGGTTTGCATGACATGTGTTTCACTTACCGCAGCCCTTTTTGTAAGTTCAGTTAGAGAGCCGAGATCTGCTGAGCCAGCAAGGAAAAGGGAGCCCAATGTACCCGCTGCAGATTGTGACCGCTGGGTTGCAAACCCCTAGAACTTCCGTATTTTTTTGTCAGGTTATAAGCCCCCATGCCAGTTCTACTTAGATGGTCGATTGTTGGGTTTAGCCAGTATACCTCGGTTGCCATTTTCATTTCCATCCCATTCCGTATCGGTCTGCTTCAGGAAAGACTCGGTCTGTTTGTTGGCGATCGACGAGGCGCACTGCAGCGTGGCTGTGAAGGTTTTTTTTTTGTGCTGTGAAACTGACCGAAAGCTGCGGAGTTTAGCAAAAAGACGGGATAAACATGGGTACAGAATGCTACAGAACAAATCAAAACAGGGAGATAGGCGAGAAATCATAATGAATTGTCACCCGCACCACTTGTTGCGATGATCATTAAACAGTTGAAATTTGCAAGGAATATTGAAACAATGAGGCTATGGCTACACGTCTTTCTGGGGTCAAGTGGGACTGGAATGGGGTTTGAAACCAACTACAACTCGCAACCCATTTCTGGACAAGGTTTTTTTGTTCTTTTAACCAGGCAACAACTATAATTATCCCTAGTATATGCCTATTACAGTATATATATAGTATATAAAAAATATAGCTGTCTATCTCTCTCTCTCTCTCTATCTCTCTCTCTATATATATATATATCAACTACATAGTTGGATATATCCCCATCATATCACGATATGCTAATCTAACTTCACGGATCTCCCATGGCTTGGTGATGGACTGTACTTTCCAGTCATGGACACATGGCGCAGGGGAAAATCCCACCATTTATCGATGCATTTTTCTATAGGATTAGGTGCCAATTCAGAATGATGGGAGAATGATCATGTTTCCACAAATGACTGTTTCCATGAAAAGCTGCATGTATCGAAAAAGGATTTTCATGGTGCCATGAATGGGAAAACCTCCATTTCGAAAAAGGATTTTCCATTTAAGAAATTTCTTCGATGACCGCAGGGTAGACCATTTGTGGTGAAATCAGAGGGATTTGACTTCATCCCTTCCCATGGGAAGATCAAGGTATCTCTGCATGGGGCCACGACTTTCGCAAGACGCTGGGTTCAAGCAATCACTGGGGTCGGGACACATGGGCAGGGGCAGGGTCAAGCCTCACTTTGTAGAGTCTTTATCATGTACACGGTAAAGTTTCCTCAAACCAATTCATCCATTTCAAGAAAGCGGAAGATCCTAACAAGAACAGGCATAGGCACTTAAGAACCAGCAAAAAAAAAGTTGTGCAGATGATCTTTATTTTTCCGAAGTCGTTTTTCATCTCGCATCTCAAAGATGGCTTTTTTGTTTTTTGGGATGGGCTGAGGTCCATCAGCATGGATTTTTTCGGCCATGGCCAGAGAGTAGATGATGTGTACATAAGAATCATGGTGAAACTTCGGGAGATCTTTCATGGATTTTGATCCACTATTATAGGGATAATAACCAACCACCATTCATAATGGTAGTTTTTGGGGATTTTTCAAATACCATGATATAGGGATAATAACCATTACAATCTATACTACCATTACTGGTTGGTGGTTTCGAACATGGCTGGATTATTTTTCCATAAAAAAAAGGGATGTCATCCTTCCCAACTGACGAACTCCATGATTTTTCAGAGGGGTAGGTCAACCACCAAACAGATTAACTCAGAGGGCTAAGTTTGATGTACCACCTATTCTTATCGAGAACTGTCAAATGAGGATGCCTTGGGGTCCAAAAAACAATGTGGTGGATAGCCCTTGAATCTCATTTACTTAAAATACCAAGAAAACACCATCACTCTTTTGTATGTGAATTTCGGGCGTGCACCATGAGGCCAAGCCAAGTATGACTCTTGAATTCACCTCTGCCTTTTTCCCCTTCTCCCGCCGAAGAATCGGAAATGATCTGACGGTATGGGCTAAATTGGATACCCCCCCCACAAAAATTGGTTTGTCTGAAAATAGGATACCTCCAAACACACTGGTCGCTTACAATACTCCTTCTTAAAATGCCATAAATGGCGTATCACCATTTTTCAACAAACCCAAATGGGAGCGTAACCACCTTAGAGGTTGAGTCCACAGCCCCCTTTTTTTTGGCGCGTTTGGACGAAAAGAATGCCACTTTGAATGGTCAAAAGTCAAAACACTCAAAATTCACGTATCTTCTTTGCAAAGATCCACATGTCTGTTAGTTATAGCAACCCTCAAAGAGAGAGATAGAGAGAGAGAGAGAGAGGGAGAGAGAGAGAGAGACGGAAAAAATGCTACTAAAAAACAGCGATAAATTATTGTAAATTACATTCCTATCTTTTTTTGAGGGGTGCGGTATAACATACATCACAATTTTGGAGGATCTCGAAATCGTCGCCTTTTCCCAATCAGGAGCTATCAACGGCTGGGCCAAGTCCGCGACGCATTGGGAAAGCCGCCCACCATGGCGTTGACGGCCACCTGTACCAACGAGGTGAGCGGAGTAACGGCAAAAATGCTGTGAACAATGGAGATTTCTTGATTTTATAGATGGGAAAATCAATGAACATCAATGAAAATCATCTATAAAATCAATGAAAGTGCAAGAACCATGTGTTTTTCTTGATGTTTTTAGCAGCAAAGATGGTGGATTAATATGGATTAATCAAATCAATTGGTGTTTTAATGGGCCCCTGCCCTCGTGTGTTGGAATATGTGGGAACTGTGGGCAATGACCCCATTTTACAGACCGCAGTTGGTTTATAAACCCAATTACCCTCTGGTAATTTAACATAGCTATGGAAAATCACCATTTTTAATGGGAAATTCCACTTATAAATGGTCATGTTCAATAGCTATGTTAAATTACCAGAGGGTAACATCCATGAAGTAGTTCGTTCTATCTACCATAAACCACCATAAACATTCCATAAACCATTCAGAATTCATGAGAATTCTAAGCCACTCATATCTCAACTGTCTCAACTGAACGCTATCCAACGGGGGCCCCATCCTGTAGCATTTGGTGCCAAAAAGTGAGGCCACACCTGCTATACTTGGGTTAGTGGTTTAATCCCGAAATCGCAAAGAAATTCCATAATCTGATCTGATTACATATTTCTGTTTCTGGTTTGATTTATTTGGAATTTCAAGCACCAAAATTAGAAACTTGTGAAATTCCCCAAATCCCATAATCATTATAATTGGTGGTTGGTGGTTGGTAGCACCTTTTCTTGGCACTTCAAAGGCATGTCAGGGACCGTTCTTCCGTATTTGGACCCCATAAAATGGGTCTCTGGAAATATTTTTCTTTTTCAAGAAGTTGGGCATCCCAACTTTGATTTATATATCACCATGCTCCCAATTTTCGATATCCATTTTCGGGGTATAACACAGTTTTGGACACACATGGACAAACACATATTCTTTGGATTGTTAAAAACGTCTTAAAACCCACATTCCTACAGCCATCTTTGACATTTTCACCCTTGTTCCCGTATCCCAATCTATGCCACGCTTGCGACAGGTGCAGAAAGACATCCGGAGCTGCTTGGGGCTGACACCGGAAAATACGGTGTTGGTGCCTCGCTTCGAAAATACGTGGAGCGATGGGGAAAGGGACCCAAACATCACATCCAGATGATGGTCATCGAGTCATCTCCCCAATTTATCACGGCGAAATGTCCCATTTTGGAGATTTGTTTCACATCACCATTTCAAAGTATTTGTTGGATAAAATTGAATAACTTCCGTTAGCTGATGTTCAAAAAAAGGACATTTACCAGTCCCAATTTATCCTCACTTTCATTTTATTTCCTGGTGACATCAGTTTTTTTCCCCCCAAAAAATGGTTGGTGGTCACATCGGTGATCTGTCCGCTCCCCATCGCCCTTCTGGGATAGAAAATCTTGGAGGTAACCCCCAAAGTCGCTAGAGGTAACCCCCAAAGTTTCCATCTAGGCAAAGAGATGAACATCGGCAGAATCCCGATAGGTTCATTGGAATTGACTTCCTTGTCCTGGCAAAATGAGAAAAGAACTGAGAAGAACTCGTTGGAAAAATGGTGGCATCTAAAGCCAGTTTCCAACGGATGAAGCCCAGATGGACCAACGAAACGTTAATGCTGTCGGTCGCTTCCTGGTTCTTGGTGAGGTTTAAAACTGGGGGTGTTTTTTCTGGCCGGGCATGATCCAAGAGGAGTGTCTGTAGCATCTGTGAGTTGATGGTTGATGATCTCCCTGAGCCATTGATGCCATTGATGAAGCCAGTTTGACTTGGTGCTTTGATAGCCATTCTGAAAAGTCCATCAGAAAAAGGATGATGCCCCCTGACGAACTCATATATTTTCCAGGGTCGAAAAACCACCAACCAGTGATGTATTTCAAGATGTTGCATTTCTTTGAAGTCAATCCCCATTGAATCCCCATTGAATTCCCATCTTAGTGGCTAGATTCCTATCATTTAACTTCGCATGGGACCCAGAAATAAGAAAAGTTCTCTTGATTGTTGGGTTGATGAAACACACCCAGTAGGTCCTAATATAGACCCTATCAAATCCTATCTGCCCCCAATGAAAACTCATTAACCCCCTGTGAACCACATAAAACCCCTGTACTGAATCCCATTCACCCCAAATCCATGAAAATTACGGCTAGCTATAATTAGCTAATATACCCCCCCTTAACATCCCTTAACCCCCTTTGACACCCCATGAAACTCCTATGAACCCTAGGCCCTTAGATAGCTAGTGCGTCTTCTACGAAGGAATCACCGCAGGACCGGCCTTGCCCGTTGAAAAGCCGAGGTGCAGGGTTCGATCAATCGACCCAACTTGAAGTTTGTGGTACGCCCACGCAGCACGTTGGAGGAGGACAACCTCATAGTGATATGATTCTTATTACATATATATATACTATATACATATATATACATGGTACACACACATATCATATATACGTGTAGACATTATACACATGATGAAGTATATAGACATGCGTGCATGCATTATATACATTACATTTACTTTTGCATTCACATTTGCATTTGCATTTACATGTACATTTGCATTTACATTTCCATTTGCATTTAGACTTACACGTACATTTACATGTGCATTTACATTTGCATGTACATGTACATTTGCATTTACATTTGCATTAACATTTGCATTACATTCGAATTACATTACATACATGTTGCAGGGGATTCGGCGGGGCCCTACACGAAATGCAATGATCCGGACAGTTCGTCATCGAATGGTGAGATAACTTATCAAACTTATTGTCATAGTTATTTTGATTATTGTGGAATGATATCAATGACTAATCAAAATAACTGTTACGATAAGTTTGATAAGATTGGAATCAGTCTCGTTTTAGAGATTCCCATAAACAATTTCCACAATTTCAAGGGAAATTTCGGTGGACTTTTTCACTTTTTAGGGATGTATAACCAAAAAAAAGTGGGTTTGTTTGAATATATATAGGTTATCTATGGTTATCCCTGATCCCCACCAATTATCATCCCCACTCAAGTTGGCAAACCCGTCCATATACCAACTTTATAGCCTTAAAAAAGCATGATATTCCGGTTGCTAAGTCTGATGTTTGATGGTTAGGTCAGCATTTTTGAAGCAGCACATATATTATTTGTGGCATAAATCATAATTTTGGCTGGTAAACTCATAGTTTTTGCGTTTTTTCATGCTTAATCGATTAAATCAGCCTCTTTACTAATTGTTCATGCTTAAATCACCAAAAACATCTCACTGTTTCTATTTTTCTTCAAAAAAAAACTGGTGTTTTTTCACAAATGCCATCACTGGCAGGACTTCGCCGAGATCTTCCACTTGAACCAGGCGATCAGCGATCGGACTGTGGATAATACCTCGGTGAACGCCATGTCCTCGACGATCGTTTATGCCACCTGGCGGCATGGGGATGGGGATCCGGATTGGTATATGTACCCTCTGGCTATTTAACATAGCCATGGGAAATGGCCATTAATAGTGGATTTTCCCATTAAAAATTGTGATTTTCCATAGCTATGTTAGTTTACCAGAGGGTATGTATATGTATATATATATGTATGTATACATATGTTGGTCAAAATCCAGGTTAGTTGGTTATTGAGATATATGATATACAATCATCCGGAAGTAAAATATGTTTTTTTTCATTCAGAGCTTCGCATCTTTGTGGGGATTCTTTGACATTGCCACACTCGATCTACTCCAGGATGATTACATATATAGATATATAATCATAACATACACTATAAATATACATATATGGATATATCATTTGGCAAATCTAGTAAAAACACATCCCACCTATATTGTTTGATGTTGAGGTTATTGTAGGACTGTTGTTTGGTTATTTGAATGCGTCAAATATATTTAGATATAGATATATATACTACGTGGGTAAAACCATAATAGACTATCCCCCAAATCACCATAAATAGATGGTATAAACCATTCCCAAATGGGTGGTTTATGGCATTGTTTAACCCACATTAATTATAGATATGATATATCAGAGTTTGTTGATTTATTCAATCATCACCCAGCATGTTTTTGCGGCTGTGTTAAGATATCTGAAGTTGGGAGAAACCTTAAGGGACCCAACACATTTGTAAAAAGAAAGAAAACCCAGTAATGGCGTACAGATTTTCCACTAACAATCATTGCATTGCTTTGTTTAAACAGGGAAACAGGCGGGTTCGGAGGCATACAAGTTCGCTGGACATACTGTAGCTGTTTTTTGTTCCATCATCTCTCACGTCGAGTGGGTGAATATGTAACAACGCAGGAAAATTCATGGAAAGTATTGGCAAATTCCATTTCCAGTAGTATCGATCGCGAGATTCGCTGTGTACATATGTATATGAATCTGTCAACAGGCACCCATCATAACCAATTTATTTAATTATGCATATGTATAATATATGTAAGTACACACACACATATATATATGTATTGTATATGTATATGATACACATGGACATCTATACATAAATACATGTACGATACCTATGTTTGCAAGCATATATCTATATGTACAACATGCACAGGTTTCTTTTGGTGCTGACCATGAGGTGCTGACCAGGGCGCGAAGTGAAGAAGTCGCCAATTGGTTTCAAATGAAGGGCGTGAAGGCTGGGACCCCACGGATTCCAACATGAAAATTGGGCATGTCGGGGGGCTTTACAATGTGAGGCCCCCCGTTGTGATGTGAACGTTGGTTAACAGATTCGCCCCAGTAACTAGTTCGTTATTTGCGCACCATAAACCATAGTGAAATTGGAGTGATTAGTGCACCAACTGAATGCTATCGAACGGTGGCCTCACATTGAATTCACCGATGTTCAGGGTTTTTTGAACGGGGATGATAGGGCATATTCAGCAAACTAAGACGGGCGATCCTGACCAATAAATCATGGTTTCCTGTAAGATTTCGGTGAAGAGTTTCCCTTAAACCCATCAATCCAATGATCATATATATATACACATACACATAATTTGCTGATTTTCCCTGTTAAGTAAATTGCGATACCGACCATGCCGATCAAATGAATTTATTTTGGGGAGGGAAAGGAATAGATTTGTGGATTTGGACTAAATTTTGGACATGTTGAAATATTTGAACACACATTTGAACGTCCTAAGGTTGAGAACACATTAGCGGCATTAGCGGAAAACATTGGCGGTTTGTAGCCATATTTGTTGCCAATTGCAGACAATAAGTTCTCTCCATGGACGCGTGGTGTCTGATTTTCGTCTTTCGTTGTTGATCCGAAATCCTCAAATGTTTGAACGCAGCCCCATTCAATCCGCAGCGCGCACCAGTTGGGACCCGCTAAAACCAGGGAATCTCATAAGCAGCCCCAATTTCAGCCAGAAATGGAACCCCAAACGATAGGTTTTAAGCAACGACACATGGTTGATCTATTATGGGTCAACGCCTTGGGGGCACCGCCTTGTACCAAAAATGGGTGATATAATTGATACAACATGACCAGCTGTGAGGCTGATAGTTTGTTTACCACATCAATGTCTATCAATGAAGTATGTATTCTGATAAGCCCAAAACTGCAAGCGAGACAGTAGCTCATAAAACCAATGTTAGCTCGTTCTAAATCATATTATTGTGGTGAACCATAGCCCACATGCCCAAAAAGACGTATATGTGATTATATGTGTAAATGTAGGTACTCGTACATAAAACAATAATCAGCTGATCGTAGAAACATCCCTCAATTTTTCAAGACATTGTCGTGTTTTTTTGATACATCCCCAGCTATGAAGTTTTCACCAGAGCTTACCAGAGCTTGACGTCCCAGGCTGCCGCCTACCATGCAGGGCTCTCCGTGACCGCGCGCAATGAGTTGCATCGGCTCTTCATGTGCCGTGGCAGGCTGAAGCACTCGTGCCATGGGGATCTTATTGGGATCTGAAAAAGGGGACATGACGTGAACATGGGAATATCATGAATATCATGAATCATATCTTAATGGGGATATTTAATATGGGGATATCATGGTTAGTTGGGTTTGTCTGAGGGTACTTCCAAATTTGATGGTTCACCATCTCGTATTTTCTCTTTGAAACTTGCCGAGAACATGGGGATATCATGGGATTTTTCATGAGATTATATAACATGGGAATATATGGATGTAGCCACATTGGGGTCATCAGCCCAGGGCCATCGATCTGAGAATCCTGTCATGGGATGAATGACTGGTAATCCATCTTTTCACCCAGTACAAGAGGCAACTGATGAATTTTTCGTTCCGGTGTGCCATTTGGCGGCCCACATTTTTCCGCGAGAAAATTCTGTCAGGTATAGCTGATGAATCCTTATCTGGTTGGTGCTTTGGAACCATGGAATTTTATGACTTTCCATTCAGTTGGGAATGTCATCATCCCAACTGACGAAGTCCATCATTTTTCAGAGGGCTAGGTCAACCACCAACCAGATATGATGGAATTATAGAGGTTTTAGATGGTTTTATGGAGTTTCTAACTATTAGACACCATATAAAACCATATAAAACCTCTATAATTGATGGCAAATTCCCATCTATGATGTTTTATTAGAATGGACCATGGGAATTTTCCGGCTCACTTTTGGAAGGATTTCGATGTAGGTTTAATCCAGCGGTCATCGGGGGGCAAACAAGCATCAAAGATGGAGGTTTAAGTGGGGTGTATGAACTGGTTCTATACAAATACATATGTATTCTTTATTCTACAATATATATATATATACGTATATATATATATATACATATACACATATATATATATATACACGTATATATATATATATATACATATACATATACATACATACATACGTACGTACGTACATACATACATACATACATACAGACAGACAGACAGACAGACATACATACATACATACATACATACATACATACATACACACTCACATACACACATACACACATACACACATACACACATACACACATACACACACACAGACATACATACATACAGACAGACAGACAGACAGACAGACATACATACATACATATCATATAAATGCATGATATGTGGCGGGAGTCTGAAAATGGGACATGTAGGCCCAAAAAGAAAACTGGAGGTATTAAACCATGAATATACACCAAAATATGTCTTGGGACCTTTATGTTTAATTTCATCATCATATATATATATGGTCACCCCCCCCATGACCCCATTGTCTGCTTCATACATCAAAAAGCACTGGAAAAAACAGTGTTTTTATTACATACACTGCTTCAAAAATGCGACCCAAAAATACTTAAAAAAGTAATTGATAAAACTTATAGGAAACAAAAAACCAAAAAACCAAAAAATCAAAAAAACAAAAAACCAAAAAGCCTTTTACCTCATGTTCGATTGACATCTGCACTGTCTTCTTTCAGGCCGACTGATGATGATGAGCCTATGGATACGGAGAGCGATGGGCAGGAGCACCTTGGATCAAATCATTTCATCTGAAGCTACATGCTTTTATACTCTCTGCTGGACTGCAGGTTTGATCCGTTCTCATTGTCTTGGTTGCATCACGTTTGTCTGCTGAATTCTCTCCCGTCTGCTTCATCAACACCGCCTCAGGATCGATGACGACAGCATGCCTGAGACACCGCCTAGCGGACATGGTCTCTGGCTACCGGGCGGACTGCGGGCGGAGAGCGATGGGCAGGAGCACCTTGGATCAAATCATTTCATCTGAAGCTACATGCTTTTATACTCTCTGCTGGACTGCGGGTTTGATCCGTTCTCATTGTCTTGCATCACGTTTGTCTGCTGAATTGTCTCCCGTCTGCTTCATCAACACCGCCTCAGGATCGATGACGACAGCATGCCTGAGACACCGCCTAGCGTACATGGTCTCTGGCTACCGGGCGGACTGCCGGCAGCCATCACACCACCGGAGGCGTCGTGCTTCCTTGGACACCTCTTGGTCCACCACCAATGACTCCGCCAGAGGCGTTTCAGTGGTGGCTCGGGGGCGCATGAGTGATCTTGGCACAAAGATGGAAAAGGGTCGGTGGTATTGCATTAGCTTGTCTTAGGATTTCCGCACTGGATTCTGTGCATTCATCCCACAAAAAAACACACACTTTATCATCGGCTGCATTGTCTGCATTCATCCGACAAAACAGAAACACTGTATCATAGGTTGTTCTGCTTGTAGCTTTCTACCTCTAGCTTTAGTGCGTACCCAGCCAGTGTCGCTTTGTGGCAACATGGTCTCTGTAGATGCGTCCAATATCACTTTGGAGGATGCGATTCAGGCAACTGAATTCATGTCCATGCGAGATCTACCAGAGCATGTCTATGTCGGTCAAATGCCGCTAGGTTCCGTTCTGCTGACAGACTTGCCTCGAAAGGACTTGGACCCAGCGTCCAACAACCTCAAGCATGTCCTGGATGTGGTGCTCGATATACCTGCAGCAGCCGTGGATTTGAGCACCATCAAGGCTATCTTTCGGGAGAAGGCGTGGAAAGAGCTTCCAGATTTCATGCAAATGAAGGAGCGACCGGTGTTCGAATGTGTCTGTCAATACTTCTTCTTGCCCCAGTCTGATGATCAGACTTGCATGCTGAAGCACATCTACATCTGTTCGGACAAGGTCAAAGGCTCACAAGCTGCCCGACTTCTACAAGGCAGAGGTTATGAGATCATGTGGGGAAACCACAACAAGAAGAATGCTCGCAAAGGCTTCCAATGGCTGCTGGAACAATTGGGTGGCTCGCAGTTTCGTCCGTATTCCTTAGGTACTGATCGCAAATCTTCGAAAACCAAAGGTCCGGAACCTGAAGATGCAGGATGGAACTATATCATGGAGGAAGGTGAAATGGACAAGGGCGGTTTGAAGCAATTGAGGTGGATCCATCAGGAAATCAACCGCATTGACTCCCCAATTCATGGTTGGTCAGAGAAGTTAGTACAACGTGCTCTGGACAGTCTTGCCAATGATGGCTGTGTAGCCAAGTTGTGCGAGAGATATGACCTCACCATGCGTGATGTGGAGCCTGACCTTCTCCCAGTCTTGGAAGTCGTCGTGCCTCAACTTCGCAACCATTCCTTGTGGCTTCTCGGTGAACCAGGAAAGGGCAAAACACCTTTGGGCCGCATCATCGCAATGATGTTTTCGAGGTATCATGGAGGTGATGGACGCTTTCGGTCTACTTGCGACCTCGACTTCTTCCGTGGTGTGCAATTCAACAAGGCCACTCCGGCCATGTATGATGATGGGGACATTGGCAACGAAGCCGTGAAGAAGAAGAAGGCTTTCGCGGATGTGGCAGATGATGAAACTATGACTCGAGAGAGGTGGACCAATGCTAAGTTTGTTCGCAATCAGCTGCGCATTGTCTTGGACAACGCTTACAACCCAGAAGCGGAGCCACAGCCGGAGTCAGACTTTCTTGATCAGGAGAAAACAATCCCACATGAGGCATTCTATAGCATGATTCGTCCAGCCCTTGGAAACATTGCTGTGACTGATGCAATGGCCATCTTGAAGCGCAGTGTCTTCATCATCTTTTCCAAGAAGTTTGTGTACTACCGCCTGCCGTCTCAACAGCCTGCACCTGTCGAACGGCTGCCTTGGAAGAAGTTGGACATCTTGCAGGATTCCTCCAAGCCAATCTTGAAGAACTTTCTCGAAGGTGGACCTCGTCCAGACACATACGACATGCACACGGTTTGGGAACAGGACACTTGGTTGCATCTCACAGTGGCTATCTTGAAAAAAATCTCTACACACCAATGTCATGCAATTCCTTTCTGTAACCATACTTCTTCACACGTCTGTCTTCCACTCATGCATAAATTAAAACAATCGACGCATCTGACTTCAAAGCTAGCTTCTGTGTTAATTGCCTTCACATCAAGGTTACATTCACATGCCATGCTGCTGTTGTCTCCCCTTTCTTTCGTTCCAAACTAAGGAGTGGTTGAAAGAAGCCATCCGCAAGGCTGAAGACAAGCACTTGAAGGAAGCTATGACACAGGCTCGAGCGGCTCAGGAGGCAGCAATGCAATGTATGCCACCCGTGAAAATGGAGAAGCATGAGTTTCGAGATGGACATGCTTGGCTGGCACGGGAGTGCCGCACATCACCGATCAATGTCGACACAGACGTGGCGAGCCATGACTGGACCAACTGGTCTGTCAAGAAAGAACCTTTGTGGAAATTTGGTCATCTGCCAGCACTCCCCAAGAGAGTCATCGAGTTGGACTCACCATCACCTCTGAAGCGTCGAGCAACATCATCTTTGTCTTCGTCTGTGGCTGCTCCCTTTGTGCCAAATCCTGATCATGCTGAGCTAGGCCTACCTGCTGGTGAGGAGGACGAAGCAAATCTTGAAGAGGCTTTGGAGCAGCTCATGGATGACATGGTTATGCTACCAGTTGGTAAGGCTCCTGAGGATATGTGAAGAGGTGTTCTTCTGAAGCGATGTGTGAGGCAGTACAAGCTGCTGTAGCTCCATCTTGTCATGGTAGCACATTTTGAGCAGAGTGCTTTGCTTTGCGGTCTTGATGTAGTGATAGGGCACTATGTTTGTACCGTACTATGCAAGGCTGTGTGCAGTATTGCTTCTGCAGGTAGTGGAAAAGGCTTCAGCAGCAATTCTATTCGTGCACTTTGCTTTAGACGTCGTGTCCACTTACTTGCATCTTCTCTTTTAAATAATATGTTGTTGCTTTCTCTCTAGTCTGCACATGCCTGACTTGCACTTGCACTTTGTCGGCCAAAGCGGATCTCTTAATCCATACCCATTCAGTTCAGCAGTTGTTCTTGTGGGGCTTCCTTGCCAGTATCTGACCTGACTATGCCGAAGCACGTGATGAAATATCGAGGTGCTGACACTTGGCCATCTCCCAAACGAGGCAAAGCTCGAGCGCATGTGAAGCGGCCAGCTGCCAAGACTACCGCCAAGAAGTTCAAGCCAGTACCCTATGTGCGCCATGCAGGAGTTCAGAAAAAGTTCCACAAGGAGAGGATGCACTTTGGCGTGTCCATTCCAAGCTTACTCTCCATGCGGTCCGAGGAATTGTTCCGGAAGCTCAGAGCGGATGGCATTCTTCCCAAGTGGGAAGGACAGACGTGTCCTCACTGCAGCATTGGAAAGCTTGGGGGACTTCATTTTGTGAAAGGCCGACGATCTTGGGCGCACAAGTGCACAGTCCAGGGCTGCCGCAAGTACGTGCAGCCTCATGATTTCCACCCCATTTTCTTCTCTGTTTCTGGCCAAAGCCATACACCTCTGAAGAACCAGGCAGCTGTCCTATGCTGTGCTCTGGCAGGTGTACCAGTCACGTCAGTCCCCATCATTTTGGAGATGAACCACAAACCTGTGGAACGCATCTTCAAAAACCTCGAGATTGCCCGTGATCAGCACGTCCGGCAGAAGGAGAAAGCCATCAAGTAAGCAATCAGAAATGGGCTGATGTCGAGGCTGACGAGGTTGATGTGGGCAAGGAAGTGGAGATGGATCAGAAAAGGGCTCGCTGGGAGCAGTGGGGCGGCCTCGTGGAACGTGGACGTCCAGACACACTAGTGCTTTTCAGGCTTTTTCCCAAGACAACTGCCAGTCGATCACCTGGACCAGGTCCAATCACCAAGCGAGACTGGAAGCCTGTGGCCAAGAAGTTCCTTGAGGGAAGAGATGTCATTTTGCATACTGATGGAGCTAAGGCATACACAATGAAGATCGAAGGAGTACTCCATGACAATGTGGTGCACAAAAAGAAGAAGATGACAGTGAATGGCAAGCAGGTCTGGGTGAATCCAAAGTACACCAAAGTGTGGACGCACCAACTGCCAAATGGCAAGGCTTTGAAAGTCAAGGCTGGTACTCAGATCATTGACAGATTCTGGGGACACCTGCGTGCTTATTTGAAATATGCACCCAGGAAGGTGGGTTCCATTACCTTGGCCCGCAAAGTCCGAGCTGCCCAGTGGACATACTGGCACAGGACCCAGAATATGTGGTCAGCCACTGGGCACATGTTGAAAGAGCTGCGTGCTTGAGATTTTGGTGGCAGCTGCGTGCAAGAGGTGAAAAAAGCAATCTCTTCAGAGTTACGGCATTGAAAAGTGACAAGGGTTCAAATTCCATGGGCCACTTCATGTGTCTGCTGGTCTGGCTGGTCTACCAATATAGGCGTCTGACTGTCTACATTATCAACAATTCAGGAAAGGACTACATTAAAACAAACTTTCAATGCCAACTGGGTTTGCATGGTCGTCTGCAGCATCCAATGCCCCACCCCTCAACATATTAACGACATATACAAATCATATACTGTATTGTGTTGCAAGTCGAGCTATTGAAAAACGGGGTCGTGGGGGGGGTGAGCTATAAAAGGGTTTCTTACTACACAACTTGGGGGGTATCGCCTGCAGGAAAACTGTTCCCTTTTTATGTACATAATTTTAGACATGTTTAAATCTTCATATCTAAGTCACCGACATCAGAGTCGACTTGGGGTATCGAAAGGGTTTCTATTCAAGAACTACCACAATGACGTAACCAAGACCTATTAGTATGTACATAATCTGGAAACGGGGTATCGCTAATTTGTGAGGTTCCCGTCGACGGCCCTGTGTTGTGCACCGAAATCTTGAACAGGTGGCTCCTTTTCTGCCGGCAACCGTTCTCAGCATTCTCTTCTGGGAGCTGGCCACCGTGACCTGGCATGTCGACCAGCGCGACGCGGTCGGCATGACCGAGGTACACAGTGGGGTCCAGCTCCCAGGAGGGCAGGCAGTGGTGGTGGTCTTCACCTTGGTGCAGATCGCCCTTGTGTACGAGGACGAAGAGGAGAATGAAGTGTTTGGGGCGCCAGGCCGCCCCCGGCCAAGCATGGCCCCTCACCTGGCTGGAGCGCCGTGAGGAGGCAAGTAGTGAGGGGTGACGTTGAGGAGGCAAGTAGTGAGGGGTGACGTTGAGGAGGCAAGTAGTGAGCGGTGACAGAAAGGCCAAGGTCCGGAGCAGGTGCATCGTGGATTTTTTTTCTGTACCTTCGTTAGAGTATATATGGTAGATGTCATGCTAGCAGGGTTGTACCGAGACAATGTTAGATAAGATACCGTTTAGTAACATAAAAATCCATGCCCCTGAACAGTTGCACCCTAGCTCGTCTGGACTTCAAAAACGGAGCGACGCCGTGGTGAGTTTTGGAAAAAAGGAGCGCCCAAGAGAGCCTCAGGGTGGAGAGGCAAGTAGGAAGAAGGAAGGGGAGAGAGAGAGAGAGAGATAGAGAGAGAGAGAGAGAGCGCGAGAGAGAGAGAGAGAGAGAGAAAGAGAACAAGACAGAGAGACACAGAGAGAGAGAGAGAGAGAGCGACGCGGCATATATATATATATACATACATACATATTTCCAATTCACATATCTATACATACCGGGGATATTTCTTGTGTGAAAACGGGGATTTAACCACAGTGAAGTGATGATCAACCAGGTGAATATATGGTTGGTCGAAATTTGAGATATTGGGGCCTATTGGGGACCAGAATTTGAAAAATCGCGTTTTGTGTTACAGTATTCATCCAATTTTGGGGATATCCAAGTTTGACCCATTCCCATACTGCAAGTTGAAAACTCGTGATGATAAAATCCACACAAATGATCAGTTGATCAGCAAAAATGGAGTAGATCATACTTGCATTGCAAAACTTATTGTAGTCAATCAGAATGAGAATAGGACAGCACTGATTGGCTTTTTGTTCACAGGGGTTGTAAACAGACATACATTTCACTGGGGGGCACCAAATCCAATGAAAGCTCAGTAGTTCAGTAGTTCCATTAAATCCTATCAAACTCCATTACAGAGGCCCCATTGAAACTTTCATGAACTCCATATCTAATGGACACATGTCACCATTTTTGTTGCTTAAACTCTGTGAAACTCTTGTAAAATCACATGAAATCCTATCAATCTCCTTAAATATCCCACTACATCCTATCAATCTTCATTAAAATCCCATTCACTCCGATCAAACTCGATTAGAATCCCATTAAATCCAATGAAATTTCGTCAACATCCCATTGAAATTTCGTCAAAATCCATTGAAATTTCATTAACCAACAGGATTTCCAGTTTTCCAATATTAACCATATTAACCAATATTAACCATAGATTAACCTTCTGGGCCCCCCTCTGGATTTCCAGTTTTCCCCAACCAACCATTGGCGTCCAACGGCCCTGACGTCGTTGTCCAACTTCCCAGGCTGGATCAGCTGCAAGTCATGGTGGCCACCATTGCCTTCGGCATGGGAATCGACAAGCCTTCCATTCGCCGGGTGATCCATTATGGAGGCATGGCAGCGACATCCGCCTAGACCGCACATCGACCATCCGCTGGTGTAGGGGATTGAAACAAGTCTGGGAATCTGGCTGGTTAATCTATGGTTGAGTGTTTTTTGTGAATTCCTGGCAGGGGATTGAATTGGATCAAGGAGAACTCATCAGCTTGGTGGTGACTGGAACATGAATTTTCCTGGTTAATCTATGGTTAATCTATGGTTAATCTATGGTTAATAGCGGTTAATAATTGGAATAAAACAAAATATCTGGTTGGTGGTGACTGGAACCATGGAATTTTGAATGATTTTCCATAGATTGGGAATAGTAGCCCCCACTGACGAACTCCATCATTTTTCAGAGGGGTTGTTTCACCACCAACCAGAAGTTAAACATCTATGGGATTCCAAGCATTCCCTCCAAATTGGCCATGGCTTCAATCCTTGTGATTTAACAACAAAGGGACTATTACGAAAAAAAAGCCTATAGACATAGAACATGAATAAGCTACCCTCTGGTAAACGTTTACATAACTATGGAAAATCACCTTTTTTAATGGGAACATCCACTATTTTGATGGCCATTTTCTATGTCGCAAACTGTTAGTCATTATCAGGCCGGGTACGCGAGCTAATTTCTTTGGAGATTTGAAGTAGGACAATTACATGGGTCATTGAATGTCCCCATTGAACATCACCCAACCAAAATCGGTATATGGTCTATAATAACTACTATAAGGTGATGTCCAATCTTCCCAAAATGGGACATTTACCAACCCCTGAATTAGCAAATAAATGCCAAACATTTTTCCGAGGATGTATGTCGATATATCACCAACAAATACCAAGAAGTACCAACAAATACTTACTCAATCTATGATTTGGGTACTGAATCTTTGTGACATATCTATGAACCTATGGGGATGTTGATAGTTGATTATCGATTAGTAAGAAATGGGATATGGATAAATGTGCCATTAAATAGATAAACACTGGTAAAGGAGGATAAATTGAAACTGAGTGTAATGGCAAATAGGGTTTGAGGGTTTGATGGGCTGAAGATTATAACGACCGAAACCAGGCCGACCTCC